GAAATGTGAACACTCTTCCTTTCTACTTTACCTACATGTGTTTCTCTTAGTAAATCTGCATCTGCACCTGTATTGTCTGTAGGTCTCTTCAAGCCTTTCCAATTGTGCAAGGGGGGTATGTAACACATTTTAGCGTAGTGGCCAGATTTCTTGATATTGTGGATTAATACCCAAGACCACACAACTTTTAAAATTGAATGTGGACAAATTCTGTGCATTTCAAGAGAGAAAAATATTTCGGAATTTCCACAAGCAGCAAACCAGTTATCAAACGTCTGTATACTGAAAGTTCTGCAGTTTAACAGCAGCAGAATATCTAGCGGGTTGATAGCAGTCCCCCCTTGTCCATCATCCTTTGGCTGCACTTGGACAGCCTCTGGATGAATTCTGGCTCCTGGCACCAGATCACAAAACACTAGGCTGTTAAATACTAGGCTATTCTCTGCTCAGCTTGGGTTTCTGCTCCCGAGAACGTTAACGAGCCTTGTGCAGAGCTGCCACTTCCTGGTAGTCCAGATCCCACCCCCCCCACCCTCCCCAACACCCCCACTCCTCTCCCCAACACCCCCACCCCCTCTCCCCTCCACCTGATACTGCAGCCAAACTCTACACCAGACATCCAAGTCACAGTGGAGGAAGCACATCAGCATACACCACGGCCCAGTCTGCCTGATTCTGACCTAATAATCATCCAGCCACACGGTTTACTTTAATATTCAGTGGACGGAGAATAACTCATATCAAACACACTACTGCCGAAATTCTCAGTAAAAAAAAATTAAAAATACTACATTACTGTGCAAGAGAGTCAATTCACTCATTTATTTAATTTACAGTCAAAATGACCATTAAGTGCAAGGTTTTCCTTGCATTCTTTGTATTTGTTACAGCTTCCAATCTTTTGGGAGATTTGCTTTTGGAAGTTTTTCGAAGAAATCTGCGGTAATATTTTTCCACACCCCCAAGTTCAGTCCTACAAGCTGGTTGCATTTTCTGCTTCTCACTCTCCAAGTCATGACAAACACATTCAATGCTGTTGAGGTCTAGACTCTAGGATGGTCAGTTCATTATTCTGAGAACACAAGTAGCATCTTTGTTTAATGTGCAAATTTTCTTCTTCGTTGTCTATTTTCTCTTCTCAGTTATATCAGAACTATCTCCTAAAAATGAATAATTTGTCTAAATTTTAACTGAAAATGAAGTAAATGAAGGTCGATCTCTAACTTTTACACAGTACTGTACATTCATTCATCATTACTGCAGCTACCTAAGCTTCATTATCAGTATGAATATACAAAGCACAAGTTTAAGACATCTAAAAAGTCTGTAAAACAGTTAGGAAAATGTCACGGGGGGGGGCTTTATATATTCAATACCACAAAAGGTGTTAACTTAGTTCCCCGTCACAGTTAGGTACTGTATTACACCCACTGTGTGCAATACTATATCCTGAGTGGAGTGTTTCAGTTTTATCATCTTTAGACTAACACAAACTGCCATGATCAGTTTAGCTGCATGGAAAATCACTGTAACAACATGCAGTTGAAAAGAGAATTTTCTTAGAACTCTTAACCTTTCACCATCTTAATCAAATAAATTCATTAGAACGAATAAAGTAAATGTAGCCGTGCATCAAGCACAATCTTCTCACAAACACAATAAGGTGAAGTCTCAAACAAGTAGTCTATATGAAACCTACTGTCGTGCAACAGATTTGTAAATACACCAAGTGGAGTCTTATGAACAGCTGACGATAACATCCATGTCCTGAATGGAAGACAGACATAGAGGGTGGTACCTCCTGCCAGAAAGATAAGAGCGAGCAAGTTCATGCACAGCTGCTGCACCTCACTTTAGGTGCCAGGTCCATCTCTGGGTTATGACCCTTCTTGCTAGTCATGATAAACAAACAAGCCCAAACCTTACAGAAATTATTCTTAGTATTCATGTCCAAAATACAATGAGTTCCTCTGGGGGAAAGCATTGCTCTTAAAAAAATAAAAGCGCTAAAAAGGGTTCCTTGAAGTGATGCCACAGAAGAACCAATTCTATTTCCCTAAAGAACCTTCAATGGACGGTTCTTTAAAAAGAACCATTTTTGTGAATGAGATGTGAGTGTGAAGAACCTTTCTAAAGTTTAAAGAATGTTCACATCAGGTAAAAGTTTCTATATCAATTAAAGTTTTTCAAGCCAAGAACCATTTGGGAACATTTTATTTTTAAGGGTGATGACCTGATTAACTATTCAACTCGTTCATTTATTAATAAAAAATTGCAGCTATCACTGCATCTTTTTTCTGTTAATTAACTGTTACCTGCTGTCAGAGAGGATGTACAACAAAACTGCTGAAACACAAGTTAAAATGGTACAACTGCTAACCAAACTAATTTTACGCCATAGGTACAGCAAATACTTATGACTTCCTTTCTAGTAACAAACTCTTAACACAGACCAGTGGTCACCAACCCTGCTTGTGGGGATGTACCTTCTTACAGAATTTAGCTTCAGCCCTATCCAAATAATTAAGTGGGCTGATGATCTGGATCAGATGCATTCAATCAGGACTGGAAGAGAACTCAAAAAGGCAGATCTCTAGAAGCAGGGTTGATGACCTCTGATGTAGACCACTAAAGAGAAGACTTGTGAGCAGACTTCACTGTGCCTGAATGTCTGTGGTCAGCCTCATGGAGGACACTTGTCCCCTGAGTGAAATTCTGTCTCATAGGAAATAAGCAGTAAGGAGGCTGTAGACGCACCTACACTTCCACTGAGGTCATCGTCTCTGTTGCAAGCTTCAAGCCAGCTAAAACACCTGCGTAGGCCCTAATTGCAACAAAGGGAAATGTGCCTACAACCAGAAGAGGATAATAATACATTTCTATATTCCTTTCCACTTTTAATTGCCTGAATGTAAGTGCGGTAATGGCAATGTGCTAAACAACTGTGCAATATTTCGAAACATAATTAAGGAGGCTGAGAAGGAATGCCAATCTGAAATGCCAAAAGTACTGCAACAGTTCAAGCAAAGTGGCAACAAAAATACTTCCAAATGTCCTCCTAGAGCATTTTCCTGGAACATTTGGAATCTGGAACTGCTCTGAAACACGAATGCGAAATTCAAATGAACCCCGGCCAAAAGGCATCCAAGATCAGAGATGAAGACGTTGGTCCACAACCATAGACCCAAGTATGAGGCACTGTGAAGCCGTTACCAAATCCACATGTAACTTTTGCCTGCTGAAGACAAGACAGTGAACTGCTGCCATTTGGAATGTCTGCAGTGCCAACCGTGCTCTTAAACGGATCACTTTATGCATTGTGAAACTTCAAACTTATTTGGAAGAACCTCCATGAATGCTCCAGGGACGCATGCCACTGAACTGAATTTCATATGTGATATTCCTTAAAAATGGGTTCTGGGAAAACAGGCCCAGTTTCCTGTGTGGCAGAGGGCTTTCGTGGGTCATGATCCGGTGAGAAAAAGTGTTCAGAACTGATGAAGAGGACTGGACACCATATTTACAGACTTTTTCTATATACGCTGCCATATAATTCCCTCCCATGAGCGAGGGTGCAAAACACCAGATTTTTTGTGGTTCATGTGCTTCTGTGTTTGTGCGAATGATTACACTGTAGACATCAAAGCTCATCAAACCAGACAAAGTTTTTAGAGGAAACTAAAACTACCTGTTCTCTGTGCAGATTATCCCTCCTTCAGTACAGACATCATTTATCAACACCCCTCATCATATATTACCCAGCCATGCAAGCCATACTAGCTTTTTATTTATATGTGCACATTTAAAGCTTCAGTAGGGCAGTTGTGACTGCAGGACAAGGCTTGCAGGGTCATGAACAGACAGTCAAAGAGTTAAAGGGCCCATATCATGGAAAACTGAATATTCTTCACTTTTGTGAAATAAGCTCTAGTATGTAGCACACAAAACTGATTCAAACCATACCATTCACTCCCCAGTCCAGACAGGGAAACTAAGCTGCATAAAGCAGGCCACTGTGAACTGAGTGTTTTTTGTGATGTCACAAAAACCAACTCACTTGCATATACCTGCCTACTGCAGTTTAGCCCCACCCATTCAGCTCAAGTTATAGGAAGTGTTCCAGCCTGGACTAGACAATTACTCAATGAGGCACAATGCAGTGCAGCCAATCAGAGTTCATTAACATGTACCAGTATTACAGGTACAGCAGCAAAAAAACAGCTTTTTATTACTAGTGGGATAAAGAGAGATTGGAAAATGAAAAAATTAATTGAGTGATTTTGGTACATAAACCCACATAAATGTTATAAGCGGACTTCAGGGAGAACAAAAAAAAAAATACAAGTAAAAATCCATGATAAGGGATCTTGAATTATAATTAATGTTAAAAGTTTTTTTACACATATTTCCAAGTCGTTTATTCAGTAGTGTTTGAAGCAAATGAGTGTCAGTAGACGGGAACTAAATAGTCTAAATCTGGCTTTCATCTGCACATGCGTTATAACCAGCGTTTATTCCTCAAGTCCACAATCAGTGCTAAAAATAATCTCAGCTCCACGATTCATTTATAACAGCAGAAACGTGAATTGTTCGAGGCTGCCTGCTGGGGCCTTTAACACGGGAATGGAAACCCTGGGAAGTGACAGCCTATCCAGAGTCCGGGCTGCTGCCTTGGAAATAGCGGATCTATTTTATCCCAGACATCGTTACGACTCTTGTGTCTAATTCTGCACGCTTTAGCTGATTCAAACGAGTTCCCACTCTGAACCCTTTTTCATATCAGTAGCGCCAGTACAAGTCATTTTACCCATTTCACCCAGTGTAAAGCCGCAGCTACCAGGCTGCGTATTGGCCATGGCTGCTTTAGCTGAGCCGGCTGCCCACCTGGGTAAGCTGGGTAAGGGCCCACTCCAAACTCAGCACAAAAGGCCTCGAAACAACATGCAGGAAAACGCAGCCGAGTCGGTTCACAGCGACACTGCACGGCAAAACGAACTTACCGATTCTTCCGTGGCGCTCTTGTACTATTTTCTCGAAGGTTTTCTTTTGTTTGCGACCAAAACGCGATCAAGAAAAGTGGGATCCATTTTGCCGTGTCGAGAGAAGTAGGCAGCTAAAAGCCCAAACAGACACGTCTCGTCTCAGCAGTGGGGACTTATGGAGAGGCGAGCTGTAAGCAGGCGCCTCGACCGTGTCGTCGACATTTTGCGAGTCTATTCTTATATAATAAGGGAAAAAACTACAACAGTCCCATTCCCTTCTTCCCGGAGTCGTTCTCTTTCCCCTGACGGCCGATATGGTCGCCGAGTGCAGCAAAGAAGAGAAGCAGGAGAGGGGGAGAGAGAGGGAGGAGGGATGGCAGGCGGCTCCTGAGTGACATCAGGGGACTCCAATCACACGCAGTCCCGGATTTAGGCTTCCGATAGCGGATACGGATGGGGAAAGGCCTCGGTGGAGTCCGTGACCACGTTATTTATTTTTTCTCCACCTGTATTCCGACAAATCCCGCCCGTATTCGGAAAAGACCCCGCCTCCTGCGCCAGGATTGGGTGGTATAGTTCGTAATAGACGAGCCCAGCACATGAAGGGCACTAGTGGCTAATCATGCAGACGAAGGGCGGAGATTGCCGGAATACGAGCGGGATTTGTCGGAGAATAGGCGGACTGGTGACCGTGGTCCTTTACGGATGCGGCAGTTCCCCTCGAAGGCCACAGTTTCTGCTCTGGTGCTGTAGAGAGAGTTTAGTGTGCAGTGGGATTCCTCTCGGGTTCTTCTTCAACAACAGCCTAGTCTAACTTTGCTCCATAACAAGGGAAAAAAGCTCCGGGCAGCGTGATTAAACAGAACCATCAAACCCATGTCCACAATACGTGACTATATTCTGTGACGAAACCTAATCGTTATTTTTCTAGTGAAAGCCCTGCTGAAAAATAGACCATTAAAACCACCAGGATTAATACCCGAGGGGCTTGCTTTCAAATGGGAATTGGCTTAATGGTTACCATTAGAGCCAAATCCCTGTAGATCACATTAGATCCCATTAGGAAAACATCAAATGCATCTGGAATCAGTCACAGAACACCTGTTAAACCATTAGAATCATTTACACTGTGATATCAACCTATCAGGAAAACACAAATTACCCTTACTGACTATTGGACACCACCAGGAACTAACAGAAACTTTTAATGGTTTCTACGACTTTTTCAGAAGTGCGCCCACCGGTGACCACTAGGCCTACATTTTCACAAACGAGTGATCATATTGTCAGAACGCGAGAAGACCACAAGGTGTCAGTGTGGTGCTGCAGGTGGGATAATTACAATCTTTCTTTCTTTCTTTCTGATTACAAAGAAAGCATGACTAGTCCTGTTTGACTGGATTTAGTGCAGTGTAGTATATAAACTGCACTGCACTTTATTCAGTGCACTGAATAAAATTTTTTGAATAAAAATTTATTTGCACTCATCAAACATCAGGAAAAATGAAATATCATGATGAATATTGCGTATCGTGAAAATGGCTTTAAGTACTATGATATTGTATTTTTGCTATGTTGCCCACCTCTAGTGCATTCTGTATATTTATGTGCGCATGCTTGAATGGTGGGTGGATTCCCCAGTCATGTGACCAGGTCCCCCTTTGTGCCATGTCCCCTCCCATCCACCTGGTCATGCGACATGGATGTGCACTGTATGACAAAGGCAGACTGTTCTCCACTTAATACCCTCTTTAAGCCTGAGTATCAGCTGCTGGTCCACTCACAGCCCCCCAAACTGCAGGCAAGTTTAATTGAAACAGAACTGAGAAAGCCTCTGAAATTCAACCCCTCCTCTTTCTTTATGACAACATAGGATGTATAGCATGTAAGTGACTTTGATATTTGCTTAGTCTAGACTAGAAAGGGGCAGTGCTCTGAATGTCAGTCAGTAATACTCCTGAGCAGGGTTATACAAAGGTCTACTTCCTTAAATGGACTTCTGTAACTTATTGCACAGGCTAATCCTTCTTTTCTGGTGGTCAACATACAGTAGTGGTCAGTGTTTGTATATATAGCACTGCCTGATTAATGGCATGTGGTCACAGAGGCATCATATGCAGTTATGTAAAGAAATGTTGTTGGTTGAGGTTTAAGATGTAAAAAATAAAGTAAAAAAAGAAGAACATTTCATTTACCTGGCCTAGTCACAGCCAGTCAGCAGTGCCATTACTGTTTCAGGATTAGCCTAAAGTTCAATAATACATAAAAAGAACATACATTAAGGACATTGTTATTTGAAAATCTTCGTTGTTGCAGTACTGAAAATTGACCAGTGAGTCACCTCCGGATTGTGCTTGTAGGTCACTGTTTTTGTGTTTTTTGCACGAGAGGGAACAATGTTTAAATTAATAGTATTACAACTCTGGAGTCTTTGGTCTGAGTCACTGTGAAATTTATTCACATCCCCTGCTTTTCAGTTGCATGTGCTGGCCCTACACTGGTTTCACAGTAATAACAGTATTATCAAAATTGGTATGCCGCCATCTAGTGATTTTATACAAGTGATTTAATATGAATGATCTATTGATCTTGAATGACAAATAATGTTATAATGGTGTTCTGTTTTTAATGTTTTTTTTTTTTATTTGTATATTTTTTCGAGTGTTACATGAAGTTCAGGTTAGTTTTAGGTTTTTAAACATCTATCTGCCTGCCTATAAAAAGATTTTATTTTAAGCAATTTCATATCATTACTGTTGATCCAGTCATCATAAAATGTTCAAGCAAAGTAAAAGGCAGCTGCTGTGCCAAAGAATGGAGGAAAATAAAAATAAAAAAAGACTTGACTTTTTTCTGGACAGCGATGAAATGCTTAAAATATCCAAATTTCCAAAAATGTTGGAACAGGAGTATGTTTACCACTATGTTACATCACCTTTTCTTTTAATAACATATTACTCGTTTGGGAACTGAAGACACAAACTGATCCAATCTTCAAAGCAGAATGTTTGTCACTTCCATTACACAAGTTTACCATATAGGACCTTCATTGCTTCATTGTGATGTTTGGTGTTTCGTAATGTACCACACATTGTCAACAGGAGACTGGCAGGCCTGTCTAGGACCCACACCCCACACTCTCTGATTATGCAGATATGCTGTTGTAACACATGCATAATGTGGCTTGGCGTTACCATATTCAAATAAGCATGGATGTCCCTGAAAAGACACAATGTAGAAGGCAGCAAATCAGCGTTGTCCAAAAAAAAAAGAGAAATATCTCCAAAATGGTAACAAAAACATTTTTTTTGCTTTTGTACGTTATTGTAAAGACATTTAATTCTAATATTTCATGTCTACTCGTCCATTCATCGTGATTTTTTTTCACAATGTAAAGGGCAATGATGTGCTCAAATGATGTAGAAAAATAAATATTGAAAAAATGGAGATGCTGTTTTCTTTTTTTTTTGTAACAATATAACGATACCTCAAAATGTGTGTATATATCTTTCAATGTTAATGATGCCTTCACAGGGCACTAATACACATGCCATACCATGACAGAACCTTTTGAACTTTATGCTGGTAACAGTCTAGATGAGCCTTTTCGTCTTTTCCCTGGAGAGCACAACAGCCATTATTCCCATAAACAATCCAAAAGCTTGATAATACATGTTTCCACTGTACATCAGTCCATTTTTGATGAGTTTGAGCCCAGAGAAGTGAGCGGCATTTCTGGATGCCTGCCTGCCCTCCCATCTATCCATCTAGTCATCTATCCATTCATTTTGCTATTGCTCTGAGCTTCTATTTCATTTATTCTATTTTTTTGTTTATGTGAAATTCTAGTAAAAACAGAAAGCAGTTACTAATAAATTTATTAGATTTATAATTAGTATTAAATAGAAAATAGTACAAAGTACAAAAACACAATATTTGATGTTTTGCTTTACTTATTTGTTTATTTTTTTGTAAATATATGCTTATTCCACATTTGATGTGTACAACATGTTCCAAAAAAGCTGAAACTGGAGGATGTTTACCGTGTTACATTACCTTTCCTTTTAACAACAATAATCATTTAGGGACTGAAGACACCAGTGGATCCAGTTTTGAAAGCAGAATTTTTTTGCCATTCGCTAATTATATAAGTTTATAATACGTTTCCAGCTGTGCAACTGTACAGTGCCTTCAGTGTGATATTTTGCTCATATAATGAGCCACATTTTTAACAGGAGACATATCTAGACTGCAGGCAAGCCAGTAGCACCTACACTCTCTGATTACGCAGTCATGCTGTCATAACACATGCAGAATGTGGCTTGCCAGTGTCATATTGATATAAGCATGGATGTCTCTGGAAAAGCCATTTCCTAGAAGGCAGCATCTGTTGCTCCAAAATATGTATATAAAAAATATGTATACATCACAGATGTATAAGTCACCCATGCCACTTCCATACCATGATAGATGCTGGCTTTTGAACTTTGCGTTAGTGACAGGTCCTTTTCTTCTTTGGCATGACGAACATAACATCCATTGTTGCCATTAGCAATCTGAATGACTGACACATCGGACCACAACTCACATTTCCACTGTGCATGAGTCCATTTCAGATGAGCTTGAACCCAATGAGGCCGGCTGTGTTTCTAGACGTAGCTTGTTGACATAGATCTTCCACTGTACAGTCTTAACTTGCATTTGTGGATGCAGCAACAAACAGCGTTTTCTGACGACAGTGTGTCTAAGCATTTAACAAAACACTGCTGTGTTACCCATCTTAAATTATCAGGCTTGTTCTCTGTGAAAAATAATAAGGGGGAAGTATTTCTCATCATGTTTAGACTATTTCAGTGTATTGTAATAAATATATTTTTTTAATATAATTTCATTTTCATTTTATTTTGATAGTCTCATAGGTTCAGTTATTGACCTGGTCTACTTTTTGTGTTTGAAAAAGAGCTTTTGTCCAGTAGTTTTAGTTTTAATCTTAGTTTACTCCAATGACCCTGCTAACAGCATAATACAGATCATTCTGCAGAAGATCCAATATAATGCTGATTCAGCTTTTTCACTGTTATAAAAGCATTAAGGAAATCCCTCTAATACACGCAAACTCGTTGTATTAATTACACTGTACCCACGGTCATTATAGTCAGATGATCATCCAAACCCATCCAAGAGCACTCATTAAGGAATATAATTTTTGGATAGAAAATAAATAATTCAGCTTGTTGAAATATCCATGATTTGGCATGCTCTGGAAAAAGCATGTGATTACTAAGAACTAATCAAAATCACAAGATTCTGGGATGGCATGGTTCAGACGTTTGCAGAGAATGGATGACATGCATGAGCGCA